CTACATGGTGGTCACTTCTCCCCACGCAGACCACTGCTGAGAAGATCCACAGAAACACGGCTCCACGCATCCTGGTGGTCTAAGATAAAGGTTCAAACATGCAGTGTTTACTGACGTTACACAACGGGCCTCATGCAAGAACCGTTTGTACGATTTATTATTAAGTTGTGCAAGTGATTTAGGAGGATTTTTCTCATTAATAACCATATTTCATTAGTTTGAATATATTTTGAATTGAAAATAAATCATACTCTATAATTATGTTGACAATAGGTTATTCTGTTTGAATTTGAATTAGATTTTAAATGTAACTAATGACATAAATTGGTTAGATTAAATTAAATGGCTATTAATGCTGTTGTATAATACAATGAASATCTCAAACTAAAAACCAACTTAAAATAGGCATTAATTGAAGTTTGGAGACAGTTTAAAATGCCTTTTTTCAGAACTGCATCTGACACTTGCGACGGTCCGGAGGGGAGAGACGGCCAGGCCAGGGTGGGGTGGTGGTGCGTGACTGCTCTTCTTCTGAATAAATGAAAACTATGCAACACAGTTGTTTACACTTAAATTAAAAATATTTGACCAAAGAAAAACCGGAGCAGGACTAGAGAGAAATGAATATGGTTTAGATTTTTATTTCTGTGACTCTACTACGCAGGATACACGACATTAACAGCAGTCATCATTTCATTCCTCAGCTTTAGCAGGTCTGACGCTGTTAAAAATGACAGATTTTTTTTCTTATGGATCTCTGAGAGCAGGACTTTACGGAGCCTGCCAGGGGTCAGTGGGAGAGGAAAAAAACAGCCACTGGAAATCCGTGCGCTCAGTTTAGTAATCCGTACTCATGGATTACTGACATCTGGAGACAGTTTCCCGACTTGACAACGGGGAAGTTTCGCTAAAGTTAGCCAGCTGCCTCTCAGGGTTGCATCACAAAGTACAAAATAGATTTATGTTGAGCTTTTAGGAAATGTTTATTACTCTTTCCAAAACATTTATTGCACCACAGAAACAGTTGAATAAAGTTTGAAACTTTTCAGAGTACGAGCGGGGCCGCGGCTCCCATCGGGTCATCATTCTGCAGATGAAGCTCGCCACACAGTGACATTTCTCTGCAGCAAGCCTCTCGGAGGTCTTCTCCAGCGGTTCTCAGATGTTTATTTTCTTTCCTAGACAACAAAAGGGGGGACGGGAGGGCAGAGGAGGCTAACCTCCGTTTCAGGAATCATTTGCTTGGAAAATATGAAAATAAATAAATAAAAAAGACCTCAGATTTTGATGAAACTTTCAGGGAAATTCTGTGGTTAAAAAGTGTGCTGATGAAAACACGACAGTACCTTAAGTTTATATATGACAACAGATCCACTGAATTTACCTTGCAGATGCAGGCTTTGTATACGTCCAACCAGTCGANATTATACAGGCTATTATTTGCATGTTTAGGAAAATAATAGATGTAAATGTGTTCTTCCATATTCATTACCACTGCTAGTATTTTTTTTATAAATGTGTGTATAAGTTTGCTTTATATTTTTATTTGTAAAAACGTAAAAGTAATCTAAATGTCATCTGTGTATATATTGCTATTACTTTACCTATGTGAATAACATTATTATATGAATGCCCGTTACAAGTATGTCATGTTATAACAACATGTCTCACATTTACAACAAAACAATCCGTTTGAAAACACCATTCAGGTTCATGTTGTAAGTGGGAGTGCTGTCTGTACCAAGATGGCCGCTGTGTGACGACGTCTGTCTCCAATGGCCAAGAGTGCGGACCACTTATCTAGCCTTTACATCTTTGGCCTCCACCATATGCTGCTCCCCCACTTTTCGCTTCCTTCACTCTCCTCACCCCCACCCACAACAGAACCAGCCCCACCTCCCACTCCAACCCAGCCTCACATTCACCTCACAGCTAATCAGGTGAGAAGTCAGCTCAGGAAAACAAAGATCAGGAAGGCAGCAGGACTGGACGGAATCAGCCCCAGACTGCTCAGAGACTGTGCAGACCAGCTCTGTCAGGTGGTCCTGCACTTCTTCAACCTTAGCCTGAGCCTGGAGATTGTTCCTGATCTGTGGAAGACTTCCTGCGTGGTTCCAGTGCCAAAGATCACACATCCCAGGGAGCCCAACCACTACAGACCGGCGGCTCTGACTTCTCATCTGATGAAGACCATGGAGAGGCTCATCCTGCACCATCTTCGTCTTGTGGTGAGCCCAGAACTGGACCCCCTGCAGTTCGCCTACCAGCCCGGCATCGGGGTGGAGGACGCTGTCATCTACCTGCAACACTGATGTCTCTCTCACCTAGAGCACGCAGAAAACACTGTGAGGGTCATGTTCTTTTATTTCTCCAGTGCTTTCAACACTATCCAGCCTGCTCTGCTGAGAGGGAAGCTGGAGGGAGCTGGAGTGGATGGACAGCTGACAGCATGGACCATCAACGGGAATGATGAGGAATACAGGGGGGTCATCAGTGACTTTGTTGGCTGGTGTGAGACCAACGCTCTCCAAATCAATGCCAGCAAGACGAAGGAGATGGTCATAGACCTCAGGAGGAAGTCACCCCCTACAGCACCAGTGAACATCCAGGGAAAAGAAATTGAGACAGTGGACCCTTACAAGTACCTGGGTGTTCACCTCAATGACAAGATGGACTGAACTACGAACACAGACGTATAAGTAGGGCCAGAGTCGACTCAACCTACTGAGAAGACTGAGGTCCTTCGGTGTCTGCAGGACTCTGTTAAAAACACTCTATGACACGGTGGTAGCATCTGGCCTTTTTCTATTGCGTGGTCTGCTGGGGGGCCGGATGTACCGAAAGGGACAGGAATAGGATGGACAAACTGATACGGAGGTCAAGCTCAGTGCTGGGATGTCCTCTGGAGCCTGTGGTAGTGGTGGGTGAAGGGAGGATGTTAGAAAAGCTGACAGCCATCATGAACAACCCCCACCATCCGCTGCAAGAATCTGTGGGGGGGATGAGCAGCGCCTTCAGTCAGAGACTTAAACTGCAGGATGGAGCGCTTCCGTAGGTCATTCATTCCAACTGCAGTTAGACTGTATAACACATCGTGATGTTATCATTCACGTGGACAATTCACCTATACTGCTATCACTAATATGCACCTTCATTTACATTCATTTGTACTAGGTATATGTACATTGTTATATATCACGAGTATAGTGTTTTTTGTTTTTTCTTTTACTTATCTTTCTTTATTCTATCTCACCCTGTCCTGTTTTGAGCTGCTGTAATGTGCAAATTTCCCAACTGTGGGATCAATAAAGTTTTATCTTATCTTATCTTATCTTATATTATAAGGATAAAGTCAGCAGTAAAATTAAAGTCTAAAAAGTAGAGTACTGGTCTTCTGACTCCCAATAATCCAGGAATAAAGATCTAAAAGGTCAGTATGTTAATGTTTTTTTCTTTATTGATCAACTGGTGGTTGACACAAATGTCTCTTTAGTACTAAATACAAAAGTGAAGGTAAACATTTTAGTCCTGGTGTTCTGATGAATCTCGATAATCCAGGAAGAAAAATCTAAAAGGTCAGTATGGGATGTTTTTTTTTCTTTATTGATCAACTGGTGATTCCCACAAATACATTGGCTGCATCAATTTAGTATTAAATACAAAAATGAAGATTTATTGATGGCATCTCCTCAATGTATCTTTTCATGTTTTTATCAAAATTAATACCAGACAAAACTTTTTCTTTGTATTTAATATTTAAAGCATCAGCTTTGTGTGAAGACAGTGTTTCTTCGTCACAGACTAGGGTTGACAATCTTGCCCATGAAAAGTATGTTTTTCGTGCTGSGCTCAAGAATCATCACCATGAATGGATGATTGAACTTCAGCTCAGGGACAAAATGGTAGGACGCCATTCCAACCAACATCCCAGTTGCAGCAGCAGCGGTGGCTCCGCCCTCGTCAACATCCAGAGCAGCTTGGTGCACAACCTTACAGATCAATGAGGAAGAATGAGCTGGAGGTAGATTGACCACATAAAGACAAAGATGTGTGCAGCAGCAGAATGTTTTGATCCTWACCTCAGAGACTGTCAGGTCTTTCTCTTCTGAAATCCCTGTCAGATTTRCYCGAGCAAACATCTCTGTCATTCCCAAGTCCTTCAACACATTATTTAGCTTGTAGGACGTCTTGATGGAAAACTTTGGAACATAGATGTTGTACTCCCTAAAAATTATTAGATAAAGGTAATTTGAAGACTGATGTGTCAAAAAAAGGTAAAGATTTGGGTGAAACCTTCTCCTACCAACCTGGGCTTCATCCACTTCAACCACTTGGTAACATGATCTGGACAGATGGCATTCTCCAGGGTAGTCATTTTATCAGGCAACATCAGCAGCATGGAGAAGGAGTTGTTGAAAGGAAGCTGGAGGACTGAGGTGTTAATTACCTGGTCATGGTAGGTTTGAAAGTGTGTTTCTTCCATTCTCATCATCTGGACTGGAACCTGGAAAAAGAAGACTTAAAGCAATTAGTTGGGAAAGAAAAACTCCATAAAATACAAAATAGCTAACGATGCATTGCTGCTCAAATGTGTTCAAATGAAGTGCAACTTTGAACCTTGTTGGTTTCGTCTACATTGAACTCGTCCTCCCTGGTCATATCAGGATCAAATGGAGTCGTCCACTTGCCTGTTTGGAAGTGATCAGAAGAAAAAAGACTTTTAGGAGTTATCCCATTGTAAAAATAATTTAAGAAACTAACCTACTACTACCTGTATAGTAAATGTAGCTGAGGAGATACATGACTGTGCCTGGATCCAGGCCTTCGACTAGCTTGTCGATCTTTCCATTGGTCTTATCTGAAACATACTTATTGATG